TGTGAATGCGGCGACAACTGTCAACATCATGCACCAGCCACCCACATCATGCAATAACGAGGACAACAAACATGCTGCACGGATGCCCCCCCACTGGAGTGAGCCTCTTGGAGAGACCGTCTCTGTGACAGAAAGAGGAATGATGATTCCAGTTTCTGTGCGCAACCTGCCAGCGCACATGCTCGTGCCGGTTCCTGGCTCTGATTTCGTTCCCTTGTCAATCCCACCAGTATCAGCAAGCCCAGCTCCTGGTTGGGTGGAAGGAGCTACAGCAGCAGTGCAAGGTGTGCCTACAGCTGCTCGCACTCCTGCTACTTCTGTGCCCACATTTGCTGCTACAGTCGCTGGCGCTCCTGCTGCTCCTTCATCGACAATTGCTGCTACAAACGCTTTCACTTCTGCTGCTACTGCTTTCACATTTGCTGCTACAGCCACTGGATTTCCTGCTGCTCCTGCATCCACATTTGCTGCTACAGTTGCTAGTAACCCTGCTGCTCCTTCAACCACCATTGCCGCTACAGCTGCCAACACTCCTGCTGCTCCTTCACCCACAAGTGCCGCTACAGCTGCCCACATTCCTGCTGCTCCTGCATCCGCATGTGCCGTTACAGATGCTGGCGCTCCTGCTGCTCCTGCATCCACCATTGCCGCTACAGCAGGTTCGTGGCATGACTTTCTTCTCTCAGAAAGTTATAGTTCGGACGGTATGAGAGAGCAGCAGCAGCAGCAGCAGCAGCAGCAGCAGCAGCAGCAGCAGCAGCAGCAGCAGCAGCGGCGGCGGCGGCGGCGGCGGCGGCGGCGGCGGCGGCGGCGGCGGCAGCAGCAGCAGCAGCAGTGGCAGACAGAACAGCAGCAGCAGCAGCAGTGGCAGACAGAACAGCAGCAGCAGCAGCAGTGGCAGACAGAACAGCAGCAGCAGCAGCAGCAGCAGCAGTGGCAGAACGAGCATCAGCTTTATATCAAGTCAGAAGCTGCAGCATATCCTTCCCAATTCCAACTTCTAAGCTGCAATAACTCTACCCTATGCGACAATACTGCCAAAAATAATTTCCAACAAGAAGCAGTCATGCATATTATCCCTGGGACCACCTTGGGTGCAGTTCCATATGACCATAGCAATGGGGATGATTACAGAGGCCTGGTGGGGACAGAGCAGGGAAGCAGCTCCAGTTGTAGGCCTGGAGTGCCTCAACACAGCAGCACTGGGAATGCGGTAAAACTGGAGGAAGGGCAAAATGTTGGTGAAAGGGGTAAGGCAGTGGACCCAGTCCAGCAGCAGCCAAGGCAGACGCAGAGGCAATGGGCGCAGCAGCAGAGGGAATGGGAGCAGCAGCCTGGCTTCCTGCCGTCTCCCGCAGTTTTCAAGTATTTTGGGCGCAGAGCTGAGCAGGGCGGTGGTGAAGGGAGTGGGGCAGTGGTTCCTGTGCAGCAGCAGCAGCAGCAGCAGCAGCAGCAGCAGCAGCAGCAGCAGCAGCAGCAGCAGCAGCAGCAGCAGCAGCAGCAGCAGCAGCAGCAGCAGCAGCAGCAGCAGCAGCAGCAGCCGACGAGGCAGATGGGATGGGCGCAACAGCCTGGCCTCCAAACATCTCCTGAAAACTTCATGCCGTTTGGGAATCGAGATGTTGAGGAAACTGGCAGGGAGGATGGGTCACGGGAGCATTTGGGTGGGAGACATGACATGGGCGTGCAGGGGAGGAGGGGAAAAGGGATGGAGGGGAAGATGGGCAGGGGAAGGGGGTCTGTGAAACAGCCAAGGCCGACCATGCAACAGCCAAGCCATATCCCGCAACAGCCTGGAGATACCATGCAACAGCCAACTCATACCATGCAACAGCCAAGCCATATCCCGCAACAGCCTGGAGATACCATGCAACAGCCAACTCATACCATGCAACAGCCAGGGCATACGATGCAACAGCCAACTCAAACCATACAGCTTTCTGTTGGTATGCACGAGCTGACAACTCATCCATTCAATCTCCCAGAAAGCTCATCTCAGCTGCCAACTGAGCCACCCTAACTGTCAATGCTCCCACTGCAAAGCATGCATACAGCCCCTCCAAACCGCATGACTCATGCATCACCAAAAAGTGTCGGTCCGAAATGCAGCCGGCCAGCTAGGTGGTCCACATTGTGTCATTTGACCCCCCAAAAGTGTCCAAAAAGAGTCTTCACCCAAAATTGAAGGGTCTAAAAATGTCCGAAAATTAGCCAAAACGCGAAGTATCCGGAATCTGTCCAAGAAGTCTCCGATTCATGTTACTATGCAGAAGGTCGGGGATCGATGCTTGCCTGGTGCACTATACCGAACACAAAATTGTTAGATTAGGAAAGAAAACGAACACTCCCAATTATAAGTTGCTTTTTACTAGCTAGAATCGATCTCGCGATCTCCCAATCGCACGCGCGATTCGTAACCACTAAGCACCTCGGTTGTAAACCAAGCAAGTTGGTTCAATTAAACTCAAAATCCAATCAAAAACTCCTTCGCAACATGTTGACACCTGTTGCCAGGGTTGCCACCTGTCACACCACCTGCCACACAAACGCCTTCCTGTGCAGGTTAGGCTCGGAAAACATTAGCCACAGCTACCTACACACCTTACCAAACTCATCCCCCAACCACTCTCGACTTGTCCATCCCTTTCAGATCTAGATGCTCCATTTTTTAAACTGAGCTTTTCACTCGAGCATTTCTTGCCCAACATTTGTTCGCACGATCTGTTTTGGTTAGCCTAGCACTACGACTTTTGTAGAACCAATCTAGCTTTGCGGATGTTATACATTTAGGTTTATAAATCCAGTTTCTGCTTTTCTATGCAACAATGTCATGGTGTTCATCGCTTGCTGAGATGTGCGCGGTCCTACGTTTTTTATTCATTCATACAACCAGAATAACGCATTCCATGACGTCGTTTACTTATACCGCTCCTATTTCCAATATCTATCTATCCCCAGTGCAGCATTTGACGGTCTTCTTTTTACGTAACAAGTTATTCAACTTCGGGCGCTGCTAAGGAGCGCTACGGGCACTGCTAAGGAGCGCGATGGGCGCTGCTAAGGAGCGAGACTGACGCTGCTACGGCGGGTGCTGCTAAGAGACGAGATGGGTGCAACTTAAGTGCTCGACGGGCGCTGCTAATGCGGCTGCTGCTTAGAGGCGCGATGAAGAGCGGTAATTACATTGTTTAATTCAATATGAACCTGTGTGTTAACGGTTGCTAATCATCGCTTACCTTCTGATGTTTGTTTCAGTTGCATTTGGTGAAGATTTCCTTCATAGAGGGTGAATGTGTCATCACGCAGGTCGGTTTGTTTGATTCAATGTTGGCATTTTTTGTGGTTACCGACTTATACGTACATACAAGCTTCACGTTGATTTCGCGGTTTTGTTTGTTTCCTCCCCTTTGAAAGTGCTCGCAATCTGAAGGTTTTGTTTAATATTTCACAGCCGCCATTTAGTTCTCTATCACTAAGGTACGCGTCGGGCGCTGCTTTGTCAGGACGCTGCAAAGGGTCGTGACGGGTGCTGCTTACCCTGTTGCTGGTAAGAGGCCCCATCAAAGGTGGTGCTCAATTTGCTTAATGATTTGTTGATATAGCCAGTGTGTCTTGTACTTATTGGTTTTTCTTGTATTCAGAGATGTATTAATCACCGTGTAAATGGAGATGTTTGTTTCAATCGTTTCTGGTGACTATTTTCAACCTTGTTGGACAATGTGTCATCAGTCACCACGGTTTGTACGTTTTAGTATAAGCAATTTTGTAGTTATTATTTTTTGGAATGGACCTTGTGGCTCATTCAATATTGTTCTTCAATCCGTGCAGGTTATTTTTCTTTTAAGCATTAACTAATGGGGGTTCGTATATTTATCTGGCAATGCATTATTTAGTTTCTAGCAGTTTGTATAAGTAGAAATGCCTTTGCATGTTCTTTATTAAAAATCATGTAAACAATGGTTGGGTATAAATTTTATTGGTAAAACGCATCTTAGTATATCGGGTACGTGATGTACACATATTGCCTTCGCTTTTTGTATAGTCCAAATGGACTCTTCGCGGACTCTTTGGTCGGACCTAAAACAGACTCCGGAATGTAGCAGGCCTTGGTCCAAAAAGTCTCTTTTTCTGCACGTCCGGAATCCGTCCAGAAAGAGTCCGTTCGGACTCTTGGGGACAACTTTGGGACGCTGGAAAATAAAGATGTGGGCTCGATCACACAGATTGCTGTAGTGATGATGAGCTATTTCTAGGCCTTTATAGCCTCTCTCTCTCCACAAACCCAGCTGCATTCCACCGCCGACACACTCTGCCAAAGACATCCCTCTTCCACCAGTCAGGCTTGGTGCTGCAGCCAGGCTTGGTGCAGCAGCCAGGCTTGGTGGAACAGCCAGGTTTGGTGCAGCATCCAGGTTTGGTGCAGCAGCCAGGTTTGGTGGAACAGCCAGGTTTGGTGCAGCAGCCAGGTTTGGTGGAACAGCCAGGTTTGGTGCAGCAGCCAGGTTTGGAACAGCAAGCAGGCTCAGAACAACCAACAGACTTGGTGCAACAACCAGGCATGGAACAGCAGTTGTACTTGGCGCAGCAGCCAGCATTGGCACAGCAGGCAGGCTCGGCACAACAGCAAACCTTAGAAGGGGAACCGTGGAAGCATGGAGTGGATTTCAACAGCCACCAGTCAAGGCTGCAGAATGACGGTGGGGATACAACAAGCCATCTCCCTGCCACCACCCATCTCCCTGCCACCACCCATCCCCCTGCCACCACCCATCCCCCTGCCATCACCCATCTTCCTCACAGCACCCATCTCCCTGCCAGTAATCACGACCCTCCCATGCAGGGGACTGGAGAGCCTGGATACCAGCGCAGCTACACTGTGCAGGCACGGTACGGGGATGTTAGCGGCATCATTCCCAACCTTCTACCCAGCCAGCTTCCCAGCCAGCTACCTGCCACTATCCAGATGCCTGCCACTAACCAGGACCCTCAACTGCAGGCGAATGAAGCTCCTGCCAGTAACCAGAGCCGCGGCACCGTGCGAGCGAGGTACGGGGATGTCAGCACCATCATTCCAAACCTGCTGCTTGGCCGAAGCAGCACCTATCCACGCGACATGCACTACAGCAGCATCAGCGTGGCCTATAGCAGCACCATGGCCCACAGCACCATGGCCCACAGCACCATGGCCCACAGCAGCATGGCTCACAGCACCATGGCCCACAGCAGCATGGCCCACAGCAGCATGGCCCACAGCAGCATGGCTCACAGCACCATGGCCCACAGCAGCATGGCCCACAGCAGCATGGCCCACAGCAGCATGGCCCACAGCAGCATGGCCCACAGCAGCATGGCTCACAGCACCATGGCCCACAGCAGCATGGCCCACAGCAGCATGGCCCACAGCAGCATGGCTCACAGCAGCATGGCCCACAGCAGCATGGCCCACAGCAGCATGGCCCACAGCAGCATGGCCCACAGCAGCATGGCCCACAGCAGCATGGCTCACAGCAGCATGGCCCACAGCAGCATGGCCCACAGCAGCATGGCCCACAGCAGCATGGCCCACAGCAGCATGGCCCACAGCAGCATGGCCCACAGCAGCATGGCCCACAGCAGCATGGCCCACAGCAGCATGGCCCACAGCAGCATGGCCCACAGCGGGGCACGTGGGTGTGGGAGAGGTGGTTGGATGGGGAACAGGGCAGCGAGTGGCGGAGTGGGTGGGAACAGGGTTCAGGAGGCAAGTATGAGTGTGTGCGGAAGTGATGGTGAGAGTGGGAGTGAGAGGGAGAGTGGGAGGAGAAGCCGAGGCTCCGTTGGCGGTAGCAGCAGCAGCGGCGGCAGTAGCAGCAGCAGCAGTGGCAGTAGCAGCAGCAGCAACCCAGCATTCCTATGCAGCGTTCTTGCAGCATCTGGTGCAGATGTTGCTGCCACAGGTGTTGCTGCCACAGGGGTTGCTGCCACAGGGGTTGCAGCTACAGGTGGTAGGGGCACAACGCTGCCTCCTCTTTTCCCTCCTGCTCCTACAGCCATTGCCGGATTCACTGGGACACTGTTTATACCCGTTTGTAGTGGTCTACCAGCTGTGGTGGATCAAGGGGCTCCAGCTGTAGCACCTAACAAGCCTCTGGATGTAGCAGATCAAGAGCCATCTGCTGTAGCGGCTCAGTTGGCATCGGCTGTAGCGTCTCAAAAGCCACCAGCTGTAGCAGCTAACGAGCCTCCGGATGTAGCAGGACAAGAGCCACCAGCTGTAGCAGATCAAGAACCAGCAGCTGTGGCGGATCAAGAGGCACCAGCTGTAGCTGGTGACGAAACGGCTGTAGCACAGAGCATCCGTTCACCTGCAGCAACCAGCCAAATTCAGTTCTTGGCTGGTACTGGCGACCCAGCAGATCCATCACCAGCTGTAGGAAAGCACATCCAGTCACCCGCAGCAGCAACCGCTCCGCATGCACCCAATCCCTTGGCCCCACTTGTTCCTATTCCATCTACCTTCACTTTCGGGAATCCAGCCCTCACTCCACCCAAAGTGGGCGCCAAAGGCGAATCTATCAGGATTCTCCATCGGTCCCAACCCATCCGGACCCAGACCCACCAGCCCCAAACCATCCAGGCCCAGCCCACGCCCACCCTCCATCCCACTTCCCATCACTGGCCTCACCCCAGGTCTTTGTTTGCGGAGCCCTCTCACTTGTACTCTCAAACCTCGCCTTGTAATTCTCCTGCCAGTGCACATCAACCTTTGCAAGCATCTGATGCACGGCTCCCTCACACTTCCTTCTCCGATCCACTCTCCTGTCAGCCGCACCTGCCTATATCATCATCTGCAGACGTTGTACCTTCTCCTACTGTGCCGGATAGCATTCTACCTTCTCCCAATCTACCTTCCCCCGATGCACCTGCTCCTAGTGTGCCGTACAGTAGTGCACCCTACTCCACTGTTGCTTCTATCTGTATGAGCGATTGGAGGTTGGATGAGCGACTTGCAGCCAGAGCAATCGGAGCTGGTTCTGCATCTGCAGCAGCAGCAGAACGAACTGCAAAATCAGCACCAGAAGAAGAAGAAACAGCAACAGCAGCAGCAGCAGCAACAACAGCAACAGCAGCAGCAGCAGCAGCAGCAGCAGCAGCAGCAGCAGCAGCAGCAGCAGCAGCAGCAGCAGCAGCAGCAGCAGCAGCAGCAGCAGGGACGGCAGCGGGCAGCAGCAGAATAAACAGCAGCAGCAGCAAATGCAGGGGAATAATAATAAGCAACAGCAGGAGCAGGAGACTCAGGTAGAGCAACAAGAAAATAACTCTGGAGAGCTGAAGAGACAAGTGAGTGGCAGTAGTCGGTATGCAACACAGAAGAACCGTGACTGGGACTCCTTCAAGGAGTTCCTGCAGCGCCACCAGCCCCCAGTTCCTCTTGCAGAGTGTACACCCACACACGTTATAACCTTTCTACAGTATTTCAATAAATATGGTAGGACTAGAATTCACCGGAGGGGGAGTTGTGAACTATATGGAACCAACTCCCCTATGGATGCATGTGCCTGCCCGTTAAGGCAGACCTGGGGTAGTGTTGATTCGTTATTAGGAAGGCTGAGGGTGGCTTACAACGAGAGGGTGGCAGGAGCTAGAAAGGTTACAGAAGGAAGAGTAAGCACCAAGGCAGAGGCAGAGGCAGGTGGGGAAGAGGTGGCAGTAGGGATTGGGAGCACAGGTGTGACTAGATCATCAAGGTGGGAGGATAGTCCATTTGGTCATGAGTTGGTTGGGCAATATCTAATGAAAGTAAAAGTAGAGGAGGAGCAAGCAAGGGGAGTGCTGTTGAGGAAGAAGAGGAAAGCATTAGTTGACTAGGGTTGCCACATGGTGCGACGATGTACCACTTCTGACCATCCGGAGGAATACGGTGTATGCATTTTTTAATGAGATTATATCAAGACTCTAGGGTGGTATATCCGAGGATAACGGTATGTCAACCCTTGTAATTATGCTGATATGCGCATTATTTTTTCATGCCCAACGTCAAATGTTAATGTGAACTCATTTCTTCAGCACCAACCATAGAAGCCAATATGGTCTGGTGGTTACTGACAAAAATGTTTATTGGGTGTGTAAAATTCTCTTATCAAGCAAGAAGTTCCTTTCTTTATCAACCTTAATGGACCCGACTAGGCCATACCATACCTATAACCAATACCGTCACCTCACAGCTTGTTAGAGGGTACAATATTTCTCTCAACACTTTGGTTTGTACCCCCTCCTTTGACCTAATCTCACATTCCTCTCCTAGTATTTCCAACATGGAATCAGAACAGTTACGTTTAGGACCCTTTTTTAAGGGCCTAACCTTCCGCTGCCCGTAGCGCACCCCTAGGGCGTTTTCCTGCCCGTCGTGCGCCCCTAGGGCGCGACCGTTTTCTGCCCGTGACGCGCCCATAGCCCTACCCGCTAGAATCGCCCTGCCCCGCGCGCTACCCCACCCATGCGCGACTGCCCTGCCCCGCACGCGCTCTTGTGTGTCTGCCCTGCGCGCTAACACTGCCCCGCCCCGCCCAGCGCGCTACCTGCTCGCTGCGCGCGTGGCCTACATTGCCCGCGCGCTTCCCTGCGCCGCCTGAGAGCGCCCTGCCTGCGCTGCCCGCACTGCCTGCGCCACCAGCACTGCCTGAGCCGCCCGCACTGCCTGCGCCGCCCGCGCTCTCTGCCCTGTGCGCGCTGCCCAGCTCTGCCCTGCCCTCCTGAGCTGCTCCTGTACTGCTACAGCTGCTGCGCTCTGCCCTGCCCTGCCCTGTCCTGCCCTGCCAAGCCGCTGCTGCGCTGCCGCCTGCTCCTTACCAGCGCCGCCCGTGCGCTGCCCATGCTGCTTGCGCTGGCTCCGCTGCCACTCAGCAGGTGTTGCTGCCGCCCTTGCCTTGCTGTAGAGGCTACTGCTGTTACAGCCGCTGCTGCCAGCCATCGCAACAACTCCTACTAGTGCCTCTACAGGCCCTGCTGCTGCTACTACAACCCTGCTGCTGCCGCTCCAGCCCCTGCTGCTGTCGCTACAGCCCCTGCTGCTGTGGCCACAACCGTCTCTGCTGCCTACTGCTGCCGCCACTGCTGCCGGCCACTGCCACTGCTGCCCTGCCTGCACGCGCTGCCAGCGCTGCCCTGCCTTGCCTGGCCGCCGCCAGCGCTGCGCTGCCAAGCCGCAGCTGCTGCCTGCTGCTGCCGCCACTGCTGCCTGCCTCTGCTCTGCCCTGCCTGGCCGCCACCAGCGCTGCTTTGCACGCTGCCCAGCGCTGCCCTGCCCTGCATGGCCGCCACCAGTGCTGCCCTGCACGCTGCCCAGTGCTGCCCTGCCAAGCCGCAGCTGCTGCCTGCTGCTGTCGCCACTGCTGCCAGCCACTGCCGCTGCTGCTGCCCGCCGCCGCCACTGCTGCAGCAGCCCTTACCACTGTTGTCGCCCTTCTGTCGCTGCTGCTGACTGCCGCTGCCCGTCATGGCCAATATTGCGGTCTTGGCGGTTGATGCAGACGGACGCCCTTTCAATTTCAGGTTGTGGCGTACGTGCCTCCACATGTATCTCCAGCGTTTCGTTAGAGATCATGTCTCCCTGCTCGAGCACACGTCGGGGTCCCTTTAGGCCCCCATGAATCCCACCGAGCCTACTGCTGACGATGGGGAGGACATGCAGAGGCGTTACCGGGCGGACCGCCTTGCCTGCACACAATGGACGAAGCGCTACTCTGTCTCCGAGCTCACCTACCGGTCAACCAGCGAGCCCATTTTCGTAAGATGACGTCAGCCCAAAGTTTTTACGACGCTGTGGTTAGACACTACTTCTCCCTCTCTCCTGCCACCAGGCCACTGCGGCAGTTTCGTCCGTTGTTATGGGAGGTGCAGCAGCTGGTTGAGAAGGCGAGTGTAGGTACCTGTGCGTCTGCTCATACTGGTGGTGCCGCTGGTGGACACAGAGGTTCTAGGGGTGGACAGCAGCGGCAGCAGCGTCACCCGGAGACCCTCTCGCCGCATCAGCTTCGGCAAAGGGTTTCCTAGCGACGCGTCCCTAGTGGTGTAGAGGCTGCTAGTCTAGGTGCATGTGAGCCTACCAGCACAGGTGCAGCTCCTGCTGAGGCTTTGCACACTTTCACGCTTGACTCCGGGGTGTCTCGCTGCTTCTTCCGCGACTGCACCACAGTCACACCGCTCACTACACCTGTCCCGGTCACTCTTGCTGACCCCTCTGGGGGCCCAGTCGTTGCACGTGCCTCCACCGTTCTCCCGTTTCCGGCAGCCCCTTCTGGCTCCCTGTCAGGTCTCCACCTCCCCTCGTTCACTACGAACTTCGTGAGTCAGACTGTCCTCCAGGACCAGTTGGACACTACCACTACTCCTGGAGGTGAGCTTGTGTCGATCTGTAAGAACTCTCGGACTGGCGAGCACCTCGCCACGTTCACTCGGAGACCCGGGTCTGGCCTGTACACACTGACCATTGAGTCCGCACAGGTAGCTGCGTCTGGTCAGGTAGCTGCGTCTTGCACGTGTTGGGTACTCACCCACCCGTCTCTCCTCTGGCACCACCGTATGGGCCACCCCTTCCTTTCACGTGCGAGTAGCATGCACTCCCATCTCCTTGTCCTTGGCCTCCCCAGATCCTTGCCTCCGCTCCCTTGGTCGCTTGCGCCGTCGTGCCTTCCCTGCGTCAAGGGGTGGCAGCACGCCGCTCTTCACTCCTCCTCGTTTCCTCCGACCACTGCCCATCTGTAGACTCTTC